CTGGCAGCTGTCAGAGGGGATGTGGAAAGGGGAACGGGATGGAGCAGTCGAAGAGCATACGTGCAGAACCCATTGATACAGACAACAGTGTGCCAATGGCCAGAGGAAGAGGATGTGGGGGCTGGGTGAAGGTGGGCTAAGCGGGGGGTGGGGGAAGATGAGGGACAACTGAAATACTGTCAACAATAAAATAAAAACATTGCCCTAGCCTGTGTGGCTCAGTGGATAGACCGTCGGCCTGCGGACTGAAAGGTCCCAGGTTGGATTCCGGTCAGGGGCACATGCCTGGGTTGTGGGCTCGATCCCCAGTTGGGGACTTGTAGGAGGTAGCCGATCCATGATTCTCTCTCATCATGGATGTTTCTGTCTCTCTCTCTCTCTCTCCCTCTTCCTTCCTCTCTGAAGTCGATTAAAAATATATATATAAAATAAAAATAAAAACGTCAAATTTTAAAAATCAAGCATTTTGTCCTTCCTCTTTCTGATCTTTAGCCTCTCCATCAGTCTAATAGGAGCTGTAGATATAACCGTACCTTAGGATTGTTTAGGGGATTGAAGGAGATAATGCAAGGAGAGCACTTAGACTCTAAGTCTTAGAGGATGCGTGTTACATAAGCCATTTCCTTCCTTTCCATCTGGATGAAAAGTCCTTTTCCCTTGGCCCCCAAATGAGCTGCCCAGGCTCCTTACCTGAATGCTTGCATGAAACGGGTCTGTCAGCACGGATACAGCTGGGCCCCTTTCTTTCTCAGGGTCTCTGGTCCGTGACGGGGTGGCTGGAGAATCCACTCAAGGATGGGGTTTTCAGGAATGGAGCCAGAGGGTCCAGGAGTCAGTAGACAAGGAGAGTGTGAACACATGCCCACCTGGAGGGCGCTGTCCTTGGTCCTGAAATGAGGTCCCCGGTCGTCGTCCCCCCCACCCCCCTCCAGTCTTCCCCCCTGCCTCACACTGTCACCCACAGCTCACTCTGAACTGGGGTGTTGTCCGGGCGCTTCCACATCGCGTCCTTCCGTCCTCACAGCCAGAGAAATTGGTTTAAACCAAAGCTCCAGATCTCCAAGACCTCCCTCCCCTGGTCTCTGTGGGATTTAAGAACAGACGAGGGTTTTTTTTTTCCTTCTGAATCCCTACTGGGCAAAGGCACAGCTAATTTGGAATCCATCTTTAGGCCACATCAATGAGCATGCATGGGTACCCTACTGTGTGCTAGAATGCGCTCTGCATGCTGGGAAGTTAATCTAACTCCATGTCAACTTCAACTGTCTGTGGCAAAGGTGGATAAGAAGACAGAGGACGACCAGAGATTGGGGAAGGAGACGAGTCTGGTCCAAGGACTTACAGGAAAGTTTCAGGAGAATGTAGCCACCACCCTGAGGTTTCAGGAATCCTTCTAAGATGAGCTTCATTTGATACAGGGCAATAAACATTCCATAAGCAAACAGGCACATGCTCGGTCGTCTGCACAAAATTTTTATTTATTACTTATTTATTTGGGAGACAGAAAAAGAGAAACATCGATTCATTTTTCCATTTGTTTATACCCTCTTTGGTGGATTTTTTGTTGTTGTTGTTGTTTATGTTAATCTTCACCCTAGGATATTTTTCCCTTTGATTTTTAGAGTGTGAGGGTGAGAGAGAGAGAGAAACATCAATTGGTTGCCTCCTGCACATCCCCTACTAGGGATCAGGGCCAAAACCCAGGCATGTGCCCTGACATGACCTCTTGGTTCCTGGGAAGACACTTAACCAGTAAGCCACATGGGCCAGGCATTCTTAGCCATTTTTAAAATATATTTTATTTATTTTTTATTTTTTTTTTTTTTTACAGAGAGAAAGGGACAGGGATAGAGAGTTAGAGACATTGATGAGAGAGAAACATCGATCAGCTGCCTCCTGTACACTCCCTAGTGGGGATGTGCCTGCAACCAAGGTACATGCCCTTGACCAGAATCGAACCTGGGACCCTTCAGTCCGCAGGCCGACGCTCTATCCACTGAGCCAAACCGGTTTTGGCTGGTCCTTTTTTTATGTTGCTATTATTCTCACTAAGTTCCCTAAAATTCTCACTTCATTCCTTAAAGTTCTCATAAATTCCTTTGAGCATCCTTATAACCATTGTTCTGAACTCTGTATCTGGTCTTTTTCTTGCTTCCATTCCATTTAGTTCTTTTTCTGGAGATTTCTTCTGTTATTTTATTGGTGTTTTTTAAAAAATATATTTTTATTGATTTCATAGAGGGAGAGATGGGGAGAGAGAAATAGAAACATCAATGGAGAGAATCATTAATTGGCTGCCTCTTGCATGCTCCCCACTGGGGATCAAGCCCACAACCCAGGCATGTGTCCTGACCAGGAATCATACTGTGACCTCCCAGTTCCCAGGTCTACGCTCAACCACTGAGCAACACTGGCCGGGCCTGTTCTTTCGTTTGTGAGGTGTTTCTTTGTCTCTGCATTTGGCTGCTTCCCTGTGTTTGTCTCTATGTATTCGGTAGAGCTGCTATGTCTCCTGGACTTGGAGGCCTTTTGGAGAAGGTGCCCTGTATATTTCAGTGGCTCGGCCTCCCCAGTCACCTGAGCTGAGCGCTCCGGGTGTACTTCTGTGTGGGCTGTGTGCACTGTCCTGTTGTAGTTAAGCCTTGATTGCTATTGGCGTCACTGGGGAGGGTTTGTCGCCCTTGGCCAATCAGTTTTAAGGATCGGCTGTGACTATAGATAAAGAACTACTGTGCAGGAGACATCCTATGGAGCAGGACTTGCTTCAGTGAGGTTTCGGTGCTCACTGAGTCTCCCCCCGACTTTTTTCTTTCTTTCTTTTTTTTTTTTTTTTTTTTTTTTTTTTTTACAGAGAAGAAGGGAGAGAGTTAGAAACATCAATCAGCTGCCTCCTGCACACCCCCTACTGGGGATGGGCCCACAACCAAGGTACATGCCCTTGACTGGAATTGAACCTGGGACCTTTCATTCCACAGGCTGATACTCTATCCACTGAGCCACACCGGTTTCAGCTGAGTCTGCCCCTTGAGTGTGTCCATGTGCAGGTGATAAGGTTGTAATTGGGCGTGGTTGAAGTTGACCATCAGGTGCACTGGATCTGGGGCCTTCTAGGAGCTGCAAAGTCAGCCTCTGCCTGTGCCCTGTCCAGGGCGCTCAGCATAAGCTGCAAAGCCATCTGCAGATGGATGCTACTTACGTTGAGTTGGAAGTGCTCAGGAGAGGCCAAACTGTGAACCAGGGTGGTTTTCCACTAGCTTCAGGTCATGAGCCGCTTATTGAGAGGCACGGGGCATGCTGGTGCCAGCTGATGCTTGTTTGAGAGATTTTAGAAAACCCCAAAGCATGAGGCAAGAGACATTCTTTAAAAAAAAAAAAAAGTATGTTTTTATTGATTTTAGAGAGAGGAAGGAAGAATAGAAGGGTGCTTTTGGGAGGCAACTGATTGATGTTCTCTCCCTCTCTCCCCCCTCTCTTCCACTCTCTCTAAAAATTAATTGGAAAAAAATATCCTGGAGTGAGGATTTTTAAAAATGCTTGGCACAGCCCTGGCCAGGTGTGGCTCAGCTAGTTTAGTGTGATCCCAGATTGGAGCACATGTCTGGGTTGTGGGCTCTATATTTCTCTCTCACACTCTCTCCCTCTCTCTTTCTCTTCCTTCCTCTCTATAAAACGTTCAGTAAAAACTTATTTTTTTAAAAAATGCTCTGCACAGCCCTAACCAGTTTGCCTCAGTGAATAGAGCATCGGCCTGCAGACTGAAAGGTCGCAGGTTCAATTCCGGTCAAGGGCATGTACCTTGGTTGCGGGCACATCCCCAGTGGGGAAGGTGCAGGAGGCAGCTGATTGATGTTTCTCTCTCATTGATGTGTCTAACTCTCTATCCTTCTCCCTTCATCTCTGTAAAGAATCAATAAAGCCGAAACCGGTTTGGCTCAATGGATAGAGCGTTGGCTTGGGGACTGAAAGGTCCCGGATTCGATTCTGGTCAAGGGCATGTACCTTGGTTGCGGGCACATCTCCAGTAGGGGGTGTGCAAGAGGCAGCTGATCGATGACTCTCTCTCAGCAATGTTTCTAACTCTCTATCTCTCTCCCTTCCTCTCTGTACAAAATCAATAAAATATATTTTTTAAAAAGAATCAATAAAATATATTTTTTAATGCTTAGCACATAATAAACTATATAAGTGTTAACTATCATGTCTGGGTGACCATAAAAAATGGTCCTGCCCAGCTAGTGTGGCTCCTTGGTTGAGTGTGTGTGCTGCACCAGCACAGCCAAGGCTTTGGCAAGCCTGAGGAAGGGCGGTGAAGGATGAAAAAAAGACAGACAAAAAGAATCAGCTGGATCTAGTGGATCTTCTGTGCCTGGCTGAGGCCACAGAACAGATCCAGACGGCAAAGCTGAAGCTTTATAATCAGGGACAAACAAGACAATTTACAATGTTCTTGTGGGTTTCACTGGGTTTGGCAGCACTTGCTGCCCCTCCCATAGCCCACTAGCTACCCAGGAAGGATCTAGGGAGCAGTCAGAAGATCAAGCTTAATTATGCTTAGAGGATTGTGCCATCCAAGCTGGGACTTGTTTGCGACTTTGCCAGCAGGTCAGTCGGAGGCTTCACCCTATAACCGCTCCCTACAAGTGTGGATCCAGGAACCACGAGGTCACCAGTTGCCCCAGTTGCTGGCTCGATCCCCAGTAGGGGACATGCAGGAGGCAGCCAATTGATGATGTTCTCTCACTGACGTTTCTATCTCTCTCTCTAAAAATCAATAAAAACATTTTTTTAAAAATAAATTGTATTGGAGTTCAGAAACCTTAAGAGTTCATGTCTGGCATTCCTCATTCATTTCTTCCTGACACTGATTCTATGGGGCCTGTCTTTTGCCCTAAATCGGGATTCGGTAAACTATGGCCGCTGCTAAAAACGGTCTTCACGATATTATGACGTGGTTGGGGGGAGGGGGGAATAATAAGAATATTTTGTGCCTTTTGGTGCTCTGAGCAGCACCATGGCGGTGGGCGAGAATCGGCGCCTTAGGAAAGGCAGCAAAAAGGGAGCCAGGAAGAAAGTGGTCGATCCATTTTCTAAGAAAGATTGGTATGATGTGAAAGCACCAGCTGTGTTCAATACAAGAAGTGTTGGGGAAACAATAGTCACGAGAATTCAAGGAACCAAATTCACATCTGATGTTCTCAAGGGTCGTGTTTTTTTGTTGTTGTTGTTGTTGTTGTTTTGTTTTTTTAATATATTTTATTGATTTTTTACAGATAGAAAGAGAGATGGATAGAGAGCTAGAAACATCGATGAGAGAGAATCATCGACCAGCTGCCTCTTGCACAACCCCCACTGGGGATGTGCCCGCAACCAAGGTACATGCCCTTGACCGGAATCGAACCCTGGACCTTTCAGTCCGCAGGCCGACCCTCTATCCACTGAGCCAACCCGGTTTTGGCAAGGGTCGTGTTTTTTTAAGTGAGCTTGGCTGGTCTGCAGAATGATGAACTTGCATTTAGAAAACTCAAGCTAATCACTGAGGATGTTCAGGGCAAAAACTGCCTGGCTAATTTGCATGGCATGGATCTTACCCAGGACAAAATGTGCTCTATGGTCAAGAAGTGGCAGACCATGATTGAAGCTCACGTCAATGTCAAGACTACCGATGGTTATTTGCTGCGTCTCTTCTGTGTCGATTTGACTAAAAAACGCAACCATCAGATTCAGAAGACCTCCTACACTCAGCATCAGCAGGATCGACAAGTCCGGAAGGAAATGATGGAAATCATGACCCGAGAGGTGCAGACAAACGACTTGAAAGAAGCAGTCAGTAAATTGATCGCAGACAGGATTGGAAAAGACATAGAAAAGGCTTGCCCATCTATCTATCTGCTCCATGAGGTCTTTGTTAGAAAAGTCAACATGCTGCTGAGACCGGTTTGGCTCAGTGGTAGAGCGTCGGTCTGCAGACTGAAAGGTCCCAGGTTCGATTCCGGTCAAGGGCATGTACCTAGGTTGCGGGCATATCCCCGGTAGGGAGTGTGCAAGAGGCAGCTGGTCGATGTTTCTCTCTCATATTTCTAGCTCTCTATCTCTCTCCCTTCCTCTCTGTAAGAAATCAATAAAACATATTTTTTTAAAAAAGAAAAGTCAACATGCTGAAGAAGCCCAAGTTTGAATTGGGAAAGCTCATGGAGCTTCCTGGTGAAGATGAGACAGGTGCTAAAGTTGAACGAGCTGATGGATATGAGCCTCCAGACCAAGAATCTGATTAAAATTCAGACATTTAATGGTGACAAATAAGAAAACCTATTTGTGACCTGTGAGCATTACATAAAACTCCAGTGTCAGTGTCCATGAAGGATTTGAGGATATGTGTGTGTGTGTGTGTGTGTGTGTAGTTTTTTGTTTCTTTTCTTTTTGTTTGATATTTTTTATTGATTTCAGAGAGGAAGGGAGAGAGATAGAAACATCAATGATGTGAGGGAATCATGGATCAGCTGCCTCCTGCACACCCCTTACTGGGGATGTGCCTGCAACCAAGGTACATGCCCTTCACCAGAATTGAACCCGGGACCTTTCAATCCTCTGGCCAATGCTCTATCCACTGAGCTAAACTGATTAGGGCAGTTGTTCCACTTATTGATGCATTCATTGGTTGATTCTTGTATGTGCCCTGACCGTGGATTGAACCCTCTACCCTGGAGTGTAGGGACGATGCTCTAACCCACTGAGCCACCGGACAGGGCTAGTTTTCCATGTGTGTGTGTGTGGTATTTGTATGAGAATTGCTTTGTCGATCATTTGATAAAACACATTCTGCTCTCTCCCCATCTCTCTCTGCCTGTCCTCTGTTTCATTTCCTCTCCCTTATCCCTCCCCTCTCCCTCATTTCTGTCTTCGTCTCTCTGGCTAGTCTGTCCCTCCCTCTCTCCCCATGTGGCAGAGAGGTGCGTGTATTTGTGTACGTGGCGGGTCACGGGGCGCCCCCTCCCCCCCCAGTATCCCCCACCTGCACAACCAGACAGGGGCTGGGATCAGGGGAGTACACGCCACTGCTGAGTCCCATTCTGCTGCCTTTTTAAAAACGTCCTGGGGTGATGTTGATTAATACACTTAGATGGGAGAGAGAGAGAGAGAGAGAGAGACAGAGAGAGAGAGAGACAGAGAGAGAGAGAGACAGAGACATCACCGGTCAACTCTCAAACACACCTCAATCGGGATTGAACCTGCAACCTTTATATATATACTAGAGGCCCATTGCATGGAGAGATTCGTGCAATAGGCCTTCCTCCCCTTGGCTTCCAGCACCGGTTTTCCTCTGGCACCTGGGACCCAGGCCTTCGCTCCAGCTGGAGTCTGCCTTCTTCGTCTTCCCCGCGCCAGAGTGCCGTCTCCCTCTCATAGCAGGCATCCTGCCCCTCCCGGCCACTCTGCACATGGACCAGCTGGGCGGCCACCATTTTCCCCTTCTAATTTGCATATCCCCTCCTGATTGGCTGGTGGGCATAGCGGAGTGATGGTCAATTTGCATGCTTCTCTTTTATTAGTGTAGACCTGTTTCTATTGATTTCAGAGACAGGAAGGGAGAGGGAGAGAGAGAAACACTGATGATGAGAGTGAAGGATAGATCGGCTGCCTCCTGCACGCCCCACACTGGGGACCGAGCCCACAACCCGGGCCTGTGTCCTGACCTGAAATGGAACCGTGACCTCCTGGTTCCCAGGTCGATGCTCAACCACTGAGCCACGCCGCGGGTGAACCTGCACCGTTTTGGTGGCCGCCCTTCCTCTCCGTCTCCTGTCTCCACTCCAGGCCCCTCCCGTGACTCTGCTCCCTTCCCTGCCCGGGCCGAGCCCGCTAACCGAGGCCGCTGGGGAGCTTCCGGGGCCTGGAGCCCCCACGTTCAGGGTCCGGAGTTCTGGTCCAGTTCACAGGGAGGAGCGGGTCCCCCCAAGGGCTCTGGGTCCCTCCCCTGTGAGAGCCGGGACCTCCCCCCTCCCTCCCTCCCTCCCCTCGGACCCGCCTCCCTCTCCCCCCGCCTCTGCAGCCGCCAACATGCCCTCCGTTCTCACACCCCACCCAGAACCCTCTTCCCCTGGCCCCCCTCCCTCTCTGCCTCGGTACCCCATTTCCTTCCATTTCTCTTTACCCCTGCTTTTCGTTGTTGTTGGTTTGGTTTGGTTTTTATCCTCACCCGCGAGGTGAGAGGATGTTTTTCCCACTGGTTTTTAGAAAGAGGAAGGGAGAGAGACATGGGGGGGGGAGAGAAAGAGAGAGAAAGAGAGAGAGAGAGAGAGAGAGAGAGAGAGAGAGAGAGAGAGAAGAGAGAGGAGAGAGACAGAGGAGAGAGGAAGAGAGAGGAAGAGAGAAAGAGAAGAGAGGAGATAGAGAGACAGAGGAGAGAGAAGAGAGAGGAGAGTGACAGAGGAAAGAGAGAAGAGGAGAGGAGAGAGAGAGGAGGGAGAGAGAGAGGAGAGAGAGGAGGAAGAGGGGAGGGAGGGAGGGAGGGAGGAAGAGAGGGAGGGAGGGAAGGAGAGAAAGAGATGAGAGATTGGTTGCCTCCCAAACACCCCCACCTGGGCTGGGAAATTGAACCTGCAACCCAGGTGTGTACCCTTAACTGGGAATCCAACCCATGACCCTCAGGTGTTCAGGTCGATGCTCTGACTTCTGAGCAGCTGGCCAGGGCTATCCCTGGGTTTCATGCTGTGTTTACCCCATGTCTCAGGCTCTGGGTCCTCCAGCTGTCCTTTCATTGTCCCTCCTCCTCCTCCTCTCTCTCTCCTTCCCTCCCTCCCTCCCTCCCTCCTTCCCTCCCTCCCTCCCTGCCTGCCTGTCTCTCCCTCCATGCCTGTCTCCCTCCCTCCCTCCCTCCTGTATCCATCTCCTTCCCCCTCTGCCTAACCCTCTTCTCTCTCCTCGGTCTTTCCTTCCTTCCCTCCTGGTACCATCCAGATCCCTGCAGTTCTCATCATCGCATCCAAGGCCTCTGATCTCTCTCCTCTCGCTGCCTGGCTGTCCCTCCGCCTCAGCATCCTGCCCCTCCTCCCCCTGGCCTCCCCTCCTCCCTCTTCACTGCCTGTGGCCGTGGCTGCCAGCACTCCACTCTGGGAACAGCAGGCTCAGGACTTCTCCGCTCCTCCTCTCCCAGCCCAGGGCCTGGGAGGGACACACACAGGGACAGGCATGGAACCAGGGATGGAACCAGCCTGCCCCTCCCCCCTTCAGTCACTGCAGATGCCCGCCAGGTCTCCTTCTCCTCTCTCTCTCTCTCTCTCTCTCCTCTCAGACTCATGAATGTGAGCCACCAACGAACACAGGCTTGAAGAGCTATCTGTGGGTTTGGGGCTGGCCTCGTAATTGCTGATGTCATGATTGAGCAGGCATCTGTTCAGTGAATTAATAAAAGGCTTAGTCCCATTGGTGAGAGCCTGGGTGGAGAGTGTTTTGTGTGTGTGTGGGTTTTTTTTGTTTGTTTGTTTGTTTTTTACTTCTAGCATCTCCTGGACCGGTCTCAGCACACAGTAGGTCCTCAAGAAGTGGCGGGCTGCTGAATGAGTAATGGTACATCCCACCCACCACCAGCCCTGGGTTGTTCAGGGTTGGGGACAACACAGCTGGCTCTTCCCTCTGCCCCAGTTAGCGCCCGTCGCAGACCTCAGCACACAGTAGGCCCTCAGGAGGTATCAATTAGTGGTCCAAGTGAGTGAGTCAATAGCAGGTGATCATCCTTGGCATCCGCCCCGGATGCCCTCAGAGTCAAAGCCCACACACATCCTGGTTCTTCCCGCCGACTCCAACATTGCCAAGCCTGGGCCTCAGCACGCAGTAGGTCCTCAAGCAGTGCCTGGTGACCAGGTGAATGGTTATACGTCCCCACATCCGTCCTGGCGTCATTGAGAGTTGGGGGTTCCACCCAGCTGGTTTCCTCCCTGTGCCCCAGCCATGGCCCAGCGCCGGGCTCAGCACATACCTCCTGAGGACCCACTGTGTGCTGAGGTCTGCGACGGGTGATGTCTGGGGCAGAGGGGAGAACTAGTTGTGGTGTCCCAAACCCTGAACAACCCAGGATTGGTGGTGGGATGCACCATCACTCAGTCAGCAGCCCATAGTGGGTGCTCAGAAGGTATACATGAACAGGTGGGGATGTGGAATGCCAGGTGACCATTCCTCATGCCCTGCCCCAGCATCCCCTCACGGTCATGGTGGACCACAGCCTGGCTCGGCCCTCTGGCCCGGACTTTGCCCAGCACACAGTAGGTGCTCAGGTGAATGGATGGATGAGGGAAACTGAATCCTAGGTTACAGACTTGGGGTCCAGTCCCATCACCCAAGAGAACAGGAGTAACCCACCCCCACCCCCAGCCGGGCCCTGGGTCAGCCAGGATGTGGGTGGGGCCTTGGGTAAGCCAGGATGTGGGCGGGGCCATGGGTCAGCCAGCATGTGGGCGGGGCTAATGATCAGCCAGGATGTGGGCAGGGCCCTGGGTCAGCTAGGATGTGGGCGTGGCCGTGGATCAGCCAGGATGTGGGCGGGGCTAATGATCAGTCAGGATGTGGGCGGGGCCCTGGGTCGACAGGATGTGGGCAGGGCCCTGGGTAAGACAGGATGTGGGCGGGACCCGGGTCAGCCAGGATGTAGGGGGGGCCCTGGGTTAGCCAGGATGTGGGCGGGGCTAATGATCAGCCAGGATGTGGGCGGGGCCAGTCCCTGCTAATCAGGGAGAGCCTGTCTCGTGCAGTGCAGGTGCAGAGGGGAGGGCAGGAGGTGGTGAGTGAGGGGAGCCCGCCCGGCCCCCCGCTGTGGGGAGGCGCCCCCCCTGGCTGAGGAGTCCGCACACATCCTGGTTGCGGAGCCTTTGAAACGTGGGGGCTCCAGGGAAGCCAAGAGGAGCAGGTGGCGGCTTTGGGGGACCCCCCGGCTCAGGGGAGCCCCGCTTTCTGGTGGCGGCGTGCACAGCCCAACCCCCAGCGACCCAGCCACTGCACCCCAGCGGCCCGGCCCAAGGATGACCAGCCAGGACCCCCTTGCAGCCAGAGGCATCCCTGCCCACCCTTCCCCCCTGATTTTATTTTTTTAAATATATTTTTGCTGAAACCGGTGTGGCTCAGTGGATAGAGCGTGGCCTGCGGACTGAAGGGTCCGGAGTTTGATTCCAGTCCAGGACACGTGCTTGGGTTGTGGGCTTGATCCGAAAAAGGGGTCGTGACAGAGGCAGCTGATCAAAGAGTCTCTGACTCTCCTCATTGATGTTTCTCTCTCCCTCTTTCTGAAATCTATCAATCTATTTTTTTTTTAATGAGTCTGGCTGGTGTAGCTCAGCGGTTGAACGTCCACCCAGGAACCAAGAGGTCCCAGTTCAATTCACCTTCAGGGCACAGGCCCCTGCTGCAGGCTCCATCCTCAGGAGGGGGCGGGCAGGAGGCCGCTGATCCTTGATGTTCCTCTCTCATCCACGTTTCTCTCTCTCTCTCCTTTCATTTCTCTCTAGAAATCAACTAATACAGGATTCTCCCTCCCCCTCCTCACCTCCGCTTCTCCCTCCCCCTCCTCACCTCCGCTAAAATAAAAACCAACTAATACATTTTTTTTAAATGTCACAAAGGCTCTCTGGGTGCGTATCCACACACACACACACACACACACACACACACACACACGGGAATTTAAAAGCCAGGGTGGCAGTCCCGCCCCGCATGGCCATGTTGGTTGGGCATCGTCCCATTCACTTGGGAGTTTCAGGCTTGATCCCCGGTGAGGGCAGGGGAAGGGTGCAAGCAGGAGGCAGCTGACTGAGGTCTCCCTCTTTCTCCCTCCCCCTCCCTTTAAAAAAAAAACCACAAGTGAATATCTGGTTTGGCCCTAACTGGTGTGGCTCAGTGGATAGAGCGTCGGCCTGCGGACTGAAAGGTCCAGGTTCGATTCCGGTCAGGGGCATGGACCGTGGTTGCGGGCGCATCCCCAGTGGGGGTGGGGGGTGGGGGTGCAGGAGGCGGCTGATCGATGTTTCTAGCTCTCTATCCCTCCCCCTTCCTTTCTGTAAAAAAAAAAAAAAACCAATAAAATATATATTTTTAAAATCAGGACTGCCATGAAACAAGACCGAATTCATGGCCAGGGACCGAATGGGTGAGAGACAATCGCTTTCTATTGGACAGAGACTCCGAGTTGGGGTTTTTACTACCGTTTATTGAGCTCCACCTAAACGCAGGGCGCGTGTGCGACCACGAGCTCGGAATGGATTCGGCAAAGACGTCACGAGGCTGCACGCGGGCATCGCAGTACACGGCTGACGAGTACACAGACAGCGGCTAGCAGGACGGCACTGGCACACGGGACAGGTTTCGGCGTGACCTCCCGGTCTCCGGCGGCCGGGGGTCAGGCCACCGTGACACGGCTCCGAACAACGGGACTGGTGAGGCTGAGCTGACCAACAGGGCCTTCCGTTCCACAGGCAGACGCCACCGATTACTCTGACAGGCCCCGTGGGTCGCGCACCAGCATCGGGCTCCTTCTGGCCGGGGTGGAAGCTTTTTTTGGGAAGGGTGTGGGGAACACAGCTGTGTCCCGGGCCCCATCCTCCGTCCACCAGGTGGGAAGTCACGGACACAGCATGGGGTGGACCAGATAAAGAAACCCCCGTCACTGAGTTTTGAAGCACAACAACCTACCCAACGGAACACGAAATGACGGGGCATCACGAATCGGCCACGGCTAGGGTCAGAAGCTACGTCTACTATTACAGCAAGTGATTCCGTTGAAAGAAACTCGTAAATGAATGAAATGCTCAAAAAACGGGGACCCGGAGCCCTCCCTGGCTGGGTAGCTCTGTCGGCCAGAGCTTTGTCAGGATACACACCAGGGTTGGGGGTTCGATTCCCAGTCAGGGCACACACGCCGGGGTCCGCCGACGAATGCATGAGTAAAGTGGGACAGCACATCCATGTTTTTCTCTCTCTCTCCCTCCCTCCCTCCTTCCCTCCATCTCTCTCTCTCTCGGCTCAGATGTAGAAGGCGGCGGGCATCCCGGTTAAGACCAGGAACAGGAAGAGCCCACACACGATCAGGAGCAGGGTGGTCTGCTGAGGGGGTCGCGGCCACTCCAGGGTGCCCTGGAACAGAAGGGGGAGAGAAGGATGAACGTGGAAAGGGTGGGGAAATGGGGCCACGGGGCTGACCCGCACGCGGACGGAAGAGTAGGCAATGAAAGCTAGGGTGGCTGAGTGAGGGGGCAGAGGAGTGAGTGGTTAGTTATAATGAACCTATGAGTGAAGAATGGAGGGTGTTGGTGGGTGGAGTTACACACGTCCCACGGACGCCGTCCATACCGTGTCTGACCGCCATAGACGTGTTCTGTTTCCCGTGGGCGACCTCAGGGGGCTCCCATCCCACAGCAGAGGCTTGTGGGGCAGGGAAATGGCAGGAAGGGAGTGAGACGGCCCACTGAGGTCACAGGTGGGACGTTTACCTGGGGTTCCTCCGGCTCGTTTTCCACGGCTTTCCACTCCTGGGGCTGCTTGGTCTCTTGAGGAGTCGGGTCTGGGACTGGGGGGAGAGAAAGGAGCCGTAGGCAAGAGACCAGGACAGCTGGGGGGAGGAGCTCTGCTTGCTCTCTCTCACATCGATGTTTCTCTCTCTCTCCTCCCTCTCTCCCTCCCTCACTTCCCCTCTCTCTAAAAATCAATGGAGCCCTAGCTGGTTTGGCTCAGTGGCTAGAGCATCAGCCTGCGGACTGAAGGGCCCCGGGGTCGGTTCTGGTCAAGGGCACAGGCCAGGGATGTGGCCTCCGTCCCCAGTGGGAGGTATGCAGGAGGCGGTCAGTCCATGATCCCCTCTCATCATGGATCTTTCTATCTCTCCCTTCCTCTTGGAAATCAATAAAAATATATAAAAAATCTAAACAAAATTAAATGGAAAAAAAAGAAAAGAAATAAATAAAAATCAATGGGGAAAAATATCCTTGGTGAGGACTAATAAAAATCTATAATAATAGAAGTGGAATGTGCTAATCAGACCGGACGAAGCCAAGGTGATTAGGGGCAATCAGGCCAGCAAGGAAGGGCAGTTGGGGGCGATCAGGTAGGTAGGCAGGCAGGCAGTTGAGCAGTTAGCAGCCAGCCATCCTGGATTGTGAGAGGGGTGTCCCACTGCCAGTTTAGGCTTGATCCCACAGGGATCAGGCCTAAATCGGCAGCTGGACATCCCCCAAGGGGTCCCAGATTGGAGAGGGTGCAGTCCAGGCTGAGGGACACTACCTCCCCCCCACCTCTAGGAAATAAATAAAACTTGAAAAACGTGTTGAGTGGGTCAGTGAAGCCACGATTGTCTCGTCCTCTCCAGGCTCTGCCCCGAATCCCCTGCCACCTCCCGAGGGACCCACGCCCTCACCTTTCTGGTCATTGGTGCCAGCGGGCATGCTCACAGCCACCCAGTCCTGCAGGTAGGCGCCCTGCCGGTCCCAGGCCCTGGTATCGTAGGTGGCCCTGCTATCATACGTGGTGTAGGGCACCGTGGTGTTGTAGGCCACACTGGCATCATAGGGCACCGTGGTGTTGTAGGGCACCGTAGTGTCATAGGGAACCGTGGTGGTGTAGGGCACCGTAGTGTCATAGGGAACCGTGGTGGTGTAGGGCACCGTAGTGTCGTAGGACACACTGGGGTCGTAGGACACCCTGCTGTCGTAGGGCGCCGTGGTCTCGTAGGGTGGCAGCAGCAGCTGGGTCATCTCGGGCTGCATCAGCCCCGCGTGCAGCTGCTGTGTCAGACTCTGCATGTCTCCAGGGGGCCCTTCCCAGCGGCCTTCTCCTCGGTGCCAAGGTCGAGCTGGGTCCTTGGGCGCAGGCTTCGGAACCTGAGGACCAACAGACACTCTGTCACCCAGCGCCCAGGGGCCCAGAGGCCCGCTGAGGAGAAGGGAGCTCCCTGCCCTGCCCTCCCCTCCTGGTCTAGTGCGGGGAGAGAGACAGACAGCGTGTGGAACGATGGTATGTGCTGCGGAGACAAATAAAGCAGCACACACACTCACACACACACACACTCACACACACACACTGGCCCCGAACGCTTGCCTCTGGGACAAAGCAAGCATTCCGCCTGGCCGCTCTCAGCGGCCGCCCCCCTGGGACTGGGGGACTCCAGCGGGGCTGAGAGCACTGGGCGCCACCATCTTGTGGCTACGGGCACCACCACGCTTTGTGAGGGAGTAATGGTTAATTTGCATATCACCCTTTTATTAGGATGCGCACTACCCGTGGACACAGACAACAGGGGGGTGAACGCCTGAGGGTTGGGTGGAGGGGGATTGAGGGGAGAATGGGGGGCAGTTGTAATGCTGTCAACAATAAAAACACGTATTTAAATGAAACATTTATTTATTTCACATTAAAAGGTAAAAGGAAGGCAGCCTGGGAGCCGTGAGCACAGGCTGTGTGCGCAGGGCACTGTGGGTTGAGGGAGGGGCAGGGGGTGTGGGAGGGGCCACCAGCATGGTCGCAGCTTCCAAGAAGCCCAGGCGGGCTCTGGCCCGGTGCTCGGCTGGCTGAAGCATCGTCTTCTACACCAAAGAGGTCCAGGGTTCAATTCCCGGTCGGTTCACATACCCAGGTTGGGGGGGTTCAATCCCTTGTCCAGGCAAATGGGAGAGGGCAACTGGGGGATGTCTCCCTCTCACATCCGTGTCTCTCACATCCATGTCTCTCACATCCATGTCTCTTTCACATCCGTGTCTCTCACATCCGTGTCTCTCTCATCCATGTCTCTCTCTCTCATCCATGTCTCTCTCTCACATCCATGTCACTCTCTCTTCACCTCCCTCCCTCTCTCTCTCAAATCAATAAACGCAAATCCTTGGGTGAGGATTAAAACGTAAATAAATAAATAAATAAATAAATAAGAAACCCAGACTCCAGTGTGGTGGAGACCAGAGGGAGGGAGGGAGAGGGAGGGGGGGCGGACGGGACAGCCGGTGACGGTGCCAGCGATTACGCCAACACGGAACGCACCGGCCTGGGTGGACAGAGCGGGGAGCGCGCTGCTTGGGGTGCGGGTTCGCTTCTGTTTTTGCTTTGTTTTCAGCGGGAGGCGCACAGGGTCCGGTGTTTAAGCCCGGGAAGCGCAGGGCAGAGGCGGGACGGAGGGAGGAGGGAGGAAGGAGGAGGAAAGAAGGATGAAGGAGGGGCCGCGGGGCCGGGTCAGGAGGAGCTGGATCTGCTGGATGGAGGGAGGGGGGCGGAGGGAGGAGGGCGGGGAGATGGGAGGAGGGGGTAGGGAAGGAGGGAGGAAGAGGAGAGGAGGGGGAGGGAAGGGGAAGGAGGATGGGAACATCCTGGACCACAACCACAGTCTCCGCAGCCCGGCGCGTCCGCACTGCAGCGCTGGTCCCGCGCGCGGCGCAGACGGGTCTTTGGCGGAGCCCCCCTGACCCCCCGGAGCCCCCGTGCGCGCGGGGGGACGGGTCCTCGGTTACGGCCACGGGGCTCAGGGAGCTGGGCGGGGAGGAGAGCCCCAGCCTCTGCGGAGGGGAGAGGGGACACACGTACGGGACACTCCGGACGCCCCGGACCCCCGGCACCCGCGCGGGGAGGCGCACGGGGACCCAGAGCCCCGCCACCCGCCGCGCACAGGCGCCGGGACATCAGCGCGGGGCGCCCGCCCTCCGGGGTCCGGAATGAATGCGGGGGCATCAACCCGCCGGCCCCCCGGGGGGCAGACCCAGCCCAACCCAGCCCCGAACCAGCCCGGATCCAGCCCGACCCCGCCCGGACCCAGCCCGGACCGAGCCCGGAACTAGCCCCGAACTAGCCCCGACTCAGCCCCCGGCCACCGGGCAGCCCCGACAGAGCCCCGACCCAGCCCCGAACTAGCCCCGAACTAGCCCCGAACTAGCCCGGACCCAGCCCTCCGCCACCCGGCAGCCCTCCGCCGCCCTCGCCCCGACACACGGGTTCCCGTCCTCCCGCGCCCCCAGCCCCATTCCCCCCACCCCGCACCCCGGGGCCCGGGAGGGACTCACTCTCCGCGATCAGACGGTCCGGGCGCTGCTGCTGCTGCTGCAGAGATGGCGCGGCAGGAATCGCGGGCAGGAATCACGGGCAGGAATCAGGGCTGCGCAGGCGCGGAGGCTGCGGGTGGGGGTGGGGGCGGGGGGGCGGGAGGGGGGGGCGGACAGTCCCCTCCTCCTTCCCGGCCGGAGCCCGCGCCTGGCGGGGGGAGGGTGCGGGGAGGGAGCGGAGCGGCGGTGACGCGGTGCCCGAAGCGCAGGGGGGTGGCATGGGGGTGGGGTGGGAATTGGGGGCAGATGGCTGTGAAGTTGGCCTCAGTGGGATGCGCTGTCCATCCCCCGCCCATGGGCCCTCCTGGAGGTTATGGCCACAACCCGCTAAGGCACCCGCAGGCGGTCGGGGCGGAGGAAGGGAGGCTCTGGCTGGAGCAGGGCAGCCTGGGGGCCCTGGGTCTGAGGCCGGCTACTGTGTCGCTGCCACTTAGCATCTCGGTGCCTCAGCTTCCCATTCTGTTCAGAAATAACATGCTTACTCCCTCATGCAGAATTGCTATGAAGGTAAACAGAAGTAAATAATGCCAAATACTGTTGTTGTTGTTTTTAAAAAATATATCCATTTCCTCCTCCTGGCCCGTGTATCCAGTGTTCGGGCAAGAAAAGGGGTGATGGGGGATAAGACCCGAGAGGGATCCGGGTTCTTGAAAGCCACAGGGACATCTTACAACGTGGTCGCAGGGGCGCTGGGAAGCCATGGATGGGGAAGGGGGGAGATACAGAGAAGAGGGGGGTCACACAACCTGGGTGACATTCTCAAGGCATCACTGAAGCTGGGGCTCGCGAGGGGCCACGGGTACAGCGGAAGGACCCTGTACCAGGCGGTGGCAATAAACCAGGTGAGAATGAGAATGACGTGGCCGGAAGGCGGGGGTGGCACACACAAGGGGAGTGATTCTGAATACACTTTGGAGATGGAGCTGCGCGGAGTCCCGGATGGACAGGGCGGGAGAGGGGAGAGGGAAGGAGAACTCAAGGAGACTTGAAGCCTGTGCCTCCGAGTGCCCAGGAGGGCACTGAGCAGGGTGGAGCTGTGTGTGTGTGTGTGTGTGTGTGTGTGTGCATGGAGAAAGCCCGGGTTCCCTCGGGGGCACCGTCTTGCGTTTTCAGTCCTGCGTTTTGAGGTTCACACCAGGGGAGCCTGGGTGGCTGAGGCGCCAGCATTCGGAGACTCTGGGGTGAGGGTGGGGAGCGGCCTTGGTCAGGGATCTGCTCAGAGAAGCGCAGGCAGCTAGCGAAGGCCTGGGGGGAAGGAGGCACTGGGGCTGTCCGCGGTGCTGAACGTCATACAGACGGAGCGGCCTGTGCTTAAGCCCTGTCCGAGGTGCTGAAACCTCCACTGAGCGCGCTCGCGCACTGTCCATGGTGCTGAAAAGTCACCTCCTGCAGAAGCTGTCCGTGGTGCTGCTACCGCGCCCGCAGCCCTGTTTGAGGGGCTGAAGCTGGTCCCCTGCGGACACTGTCCGAGGTGCTGAAACAAACCCGGACAGAAAACTGTCCGTGGTGCTGAAACCAGTCTCCCAGGGGTCTGGCCTGCATTGAGCCCTGGCTCCGTTAGACCTGTCCGTGGGGCTGAACCACGAACACGCGCACACACGCACACACACACATGCAAACACAGCACACTCTGTCCGTGGTGCTGATACCGCCCCCTGCAGACCTGTCCGTAGTGCTGAACCACACACACACACACACACACACACACACACACACACACACACACTGTCTGAGGTGCTGAAACAGTCCCCCCATAGACCCGCCCTGCGCTGAGCTTTTTATCCAACAGACCTGTCCGTGGTGCTGAAACCGCCATAGACCTGCCTCTGTGTGTGGGGGGGGTGTTGGCCGAGCTGTCCGTGGTGCTGAACCACATTTCCCTGTCCACAAGGCTAAAGCAGACGCCTGAGGCTCTTTGTCCGTGGTGCTGAAACACACCCACACTCATCCCCAGCCCTGCCTGTGGCACCGAACCCCTTGCCCTCTAGACCTGGCCATGGCACTGAACCCTCTTTCGGATTGATCTTGTGACCTTGTCTGTGGTGCCCCCCTTTCCCCACAGCCCCCTGACCTGCCTGTAGAACTAAGACAGACAGACCGGGACGTCCTTCCCCACGGAGTCCCTTTCCGTGGAGTGGGACTGAGCTGTCCGCGGTACTAAACCCTTTCCCCATACACCTGGCCATGGTGCTGAACCTCATGGGTGGGGGTCCAGTCTGAAATGCTGACTCTCTGGGCAGAATGCACCGCTCTCTCTACCTCTGACGTCTTCAAAGAACCCAGCCGCCTGGGGAAAGCCCTGCCGTTGCCTAGAAACAAAGCTCTCTGGGGTGTGGGGAGCCTGAGATGAAGCAGATGAGGGCAAAAACGGTACCAACACTTTTCAGAGGCGGCCTTGGCTCTTAGGACGCAGGGCCTGGCTACAACCTGGCTGTGCGGTGCCCAGATTTCAAGACACCCAAGGACCACCAGGGAGCCAAGTCCGATGCAAAAAACAAAATAGCCTTTTTATTCCATGGGCTCCCGTCTCCAGCAATCACCAGTGCAATGGCGAGAGAGAGAGAGAGAGAGAGAGAGAGAGAGAGAGAGAGCGCCCTGGGAGGAAGGGGCTTTTTAAAGCAGTGGGCAGTGGTCCTGTTGATTGGTCACTGGCAGGGTCAGGGGTCTGGTCACGCAGGGGCACTGTGCAGTTTCCCTAATTTGGACTGAGTCCACTTCCCTGCACTCCTATTGGCAGGTTTGTATCAGTGTTACATTCCCATGGTTTATAGGGAAGGACAGCAGGAGGAGTTGCAGAACAGCAGGTACAGTACAAGAGAAACCTTATAG